GGGGCTTCGGGTGGGTTGGTGCGAGATACCTATGCCACCTTTGGCGACGAATTTGACCGAATGGCGAAGTTTTCTCTTGGGCCGACTTTCGCAACTTATCACAGATGCAAAGTCAGAGGTTTATTTGCTAATGACAAGACCTGTCTGAATACCGTAAGTTTACATCCCAGCACAGAGGGAAGATACTGAGAAGTAGTAGGCGCTCCATGTCGGATTCAAACATGAACACCCTAAACAGATCTACCTCGTCAAAAGTGGAAGAGATTCTTCAGCCTGCTCTCCGCTAGAGGTGGGTATCTTCTACAACCATACTAAGCTTTTCACCGTCGCAAAACTTGATGGCTTTGACGGCACCATTATGCCCTCCATCGGCCCTATCCTTGCCATCTCCGCCGGGGGAACTCGGATTGCCACTGCCCATTGGAAAGGCGTCCTTGTCTGGGCAATTGACCCGGAAGCTTTTCTGGATCCATTCGAAGACCCGTCTGTGGACGTCAAGGAGCTAGATTCGGCAGATGATTCAGAGTATGCATCGTCTTGCGGTCATTCCTTCTATCAAGTGTACGAGCGTGTGGGGAAAGCGGTTGTCATTCCGCCTGTAGAGCTGCCGAATGACTCAGTAGTCCACAAGCTCGCATTTGTGGGGGAAGACAAGCTCTACGGGCTGACGGGTCACGGCTTGGTCTCTTGGGATATGCGAGTTGGCTGTGCGGGGAGACAGACCAAGAGATCATTTGACAAACTCAATGGGGTGGATTCTCTGGTGCAAGATGCCTGAACTGCTTTTACTACTGTTTACTGCGTGCCTAGCCTTCTCAAGATATCGAGGTGTACATTTCACAGCTGCTGAGATGACTTTCCAGCACTAGCCCAGACCTCGACTGAAGCCATCTTCTTTCACAAGTCATTTCATGAATCGGGTAACTAGACCAAAAGGGTATCTGAGAACAATGAAATTCTGCTAAACTGCGAGCAATACCTCTGAAAACACAACGTTTATGAAGACGACGTTGGATACTAAGCCCAGTTTTGCATGTTGTGAGCCGACACCTCCAGTTGCGCCCGTCCAGTATTCCTTTTCTGACTTCGAACTCCTCTACGACTCGCTTTGCAATACCATACTGGAACAGCCAATGGTCCCAACATCTTGTCGACAGCCTGCAGACATGACTGATCTGCGGCAAGAACCCCGAGAGCACCTAGGGATGCTGTCGAAGTCCAATGCCCTCTAACGAGAGCTGTCTCTACGTTGGTGACGAGGCCAGTCTCGAAGAGCGAGAACAGATACACAGTGATGATAGCTGAGAAAACGACAATCTTACCGGTCACCCTGTACGAAGAAACTGAACAGTGTTTGGAATTGTTACCGGTTTCGTAAAGGAAGGTCCCCCTGCACCGACCAAGGTTCTAGGGAACAGTTGAAGACTCTGCACGTATTTCCCGAAGGCCGCCAGCAAAATAGCTAAGGATCCTCTACAGATTGCCGGGGACTCTCACTTTGTAGGAAGTGTCTGCGGAATGTTCACCGGCTAGATCTTCATGGTCGACTGAGGTTCGCGCGTTGGCGATTTTGTCCAGAGACTCCAGAAGTTGCCTATCGGTGCAGTTTGGTCCAGTGCATCAGTTATTCGCGGAATATTGGTACCTCTGTGATCTGCTCTTGGTGCAGCAGCTGTACTATATGTGGTAACTTGTCGAAATGAGTGAAGCTTCAAGGCTACGACCTTCACTTAAGAAGCGTCGGCAAAACCGATGAAGGAACATTGTCCGAATTGCAGACATGTCACATCCAGAGAGTCAGACGAGGACGGCTAAGCGCAGATCCTGTGGGAATGGCGAAGCGGAGTGGAGTGAAGAGGCAAAGGAGGTTTGGTGAAATACCTCTTGATGGTGCTAGCCAAGCAAGGTTAGATGATCTCTGAAGGTCGACGGCTCGGCCCGTGACGCTTATTCAAAGCGGGATATGGAGTGAGAGAGGAAGAGGTAGGTACCTTTGGTACTTTAGCGAGCGAGTCTTTACAGCGATGAAGTAATAGTCGCGAAAAATGGCCCTAGTATCTGTGTGTATTTCTCAACCACTCGCCAACGGTCTTGATTTCGAGAAATCACATTATTTCTAAATTTCCATTTAAAGCAGCCTCCGGAAAATACCCTCAAGTCCACGCTGGACGCTTGATCATCGGATACTCATTGATATTTGGATCACAAGATACTCAACTCAAGACAAACCATAGCTTCTACATTGCCTCCTCAAACTGGTATTCGTTCATCCGAATGATAGTCGGTTACCCCATTAATCTCTGATCGACAACCAATCAGGAGGCCAATCTCGACAAACTCCATGAACGCTCGAACGAGAAGCAACTCATGGCAGACTTGCATATCTCGTGAAGTTATATCGCTTCCCCCAGTGACAAAGCAAGCAGTAACATCCTCTGGTCTTCCTCTTTCTGTAAGAGCCAGCGGTAGTTTCAGGAAGATCTGAAAGAGTAGTAATTCATCGGGCCAGGGCTATGATGATAGCCACTCTTTTTTTGATGCCTATAACTCTGCCGCATTTAAGCCAATCATGCAGTCAGTTGCTAGCTGAGAATCACACGGACAGCGTCACAATCCGACGAACAGCAGCATTGGTCTTTAGATATCCACCAGTCATGACTGAATGACTATAGTCTCGTGTTAGACGATGCAGTAGGAGGTCGTGAAAGTCTCGAAGGGGTATGCAATGCGCGGGGCAGACCCAATTTGCCGGTGGTAGTGAACTTCTTCAGTGGTGAAAGAGGCCGTCCGCTCTTTGAGTAGTTGGCGATCGACTGACGTCATAGCACCAGATTGCTGGGCTTTGCCAATTTGACGGTGAACGGCGGCAAGCACTAAGATTATAGGATGTAGGGAATAGGATGCAGCTAATCTATATGCGACGCGAAGGCCGGCGGAAGGCTGGATTCGGGACAAACATCCGAGGATTTCTCTGAATTCCGCCGCCTCCTTTTCCCCTGACCCTCGACCCTCGACTGCTTAAATGAACTGCGGGGCGTCATCGGAAAAACTATGACCAACATTGAAAAGAGTTGCGGTGCTATTAGGATTATACCTGGGATATCAATGCTGCATGCACCGGGTTAATTGATTCACCACGGTAAAAAATATGATAGGACTGCTAGAGTCTGCAACGGCTGGTCGAGAGTTACAAACCCCCAAAAGACAAGGTAGTATAAGAACAAGCCTATGTCTTCTATGTTTGCAGATCACATTGTCAGCGCTGTCTCAAAACAATCAGTCAGACCCATCCAGTCATCATTATGCCTTCCTCAGGTCAACTAATCTCCGTTCTCGCCGCTGTTGCCTTTGGCTCAGTCGAAGCTGCCTTTGGTCCATCCTTCAGTACCGGTCCTGTTGCGTCTAACTCTTGGATCCGCGAGGCAACGTCAACTCTTGTCCTGCCCAAAGCCCCCAGCGGTGGTAGTAGCGGTGCAGATACCTCCCTCTGGGTTGGGATGGGCACCTCAAATGGCGACTTAATCCAGTCCATCGCCGACAATTATCAACAAAGTAACTGGAACATCTTTGCCTACACGCTCAAAGAGACTTCACGTTCGTCCCACAGATCTATGTATCGCTGCAGCAGCAACGACGCTAATTGGTGTCCTCATAGCCACCTCGCAAGTGCCTATCCAAGCCCCTGGCTCCACCGCCAATGCTAACGACCAAGTGACGATGCACTGTAAGCTATCCAGGCACTTGACCTAGCTTTTCACAAACGCGAGACTGATAGATTACGTACAGATGTTTACAACGATTCTACCGGAAACTACACGCAGTACGTGCTAGTTAACGGCAACCAGGTCTCGACGCTCTCCACCAGCGATGGGCATGCTCAGGGCTGGGGAAGCGCTGTAGAGTGCGCCGCAGATAATTGCGGTACCGTCCCCGCTCACTCATGGATCAACACCAAGATCACCTTGGATGTAGCGGACGCGGGATACAGTAGCACTCTCTCAAAGAGCTCAGGCGTTACTGGCTCTATGTCAACCAGCGACGGAGGAAAGACTTGGACAGTGAGCACCATCAATATCCCTCAATTTACGTTCTGAGCGCGAATGAAATATATTCTACCTAAAAGTAAATATCTATTAAGACAACTTTTTTACTACCAATAAGCCGCTTTCACTTTTACTGGATCATGACTTGTATAAGAAATTGATTAGGCTCGCTCACTCAATCCTGCATTGCGCAAGGAATCGAATGACTTCTTACAACCAGCACTTGCATTGGCCTCGGAGACCAGAAATGCACTTCCGCTGCTTACCATCGTCCAAGGTCTGGCGATTCTCAATATTGCGACTCACTTGCCCTTCTCTTAGGTCAAAATCAGTCCAACGGGCGAATGCCAGGCAACTGTGGTGATCAGAAAGAAAGTTATCGCTGTTCCGAACAAATCTCTAGCAGTAATAACTTCCCTGCATTCTACAAGCGGAGTCTTAACCAGAGCATTCGAAGGACAGACATTATAAATCTCTGGATCGCAGCAACTCTCAGCTAGACCCCATGCGTCAGTACGCGTTGCATAGGTCTTCGTTGGTAGTTTAATGTTATAAGTGGCTGTTTGGCCTTTGGTTCTTTTCGTAGTCAAGGCGAATGTGCAGCATGCTCAATTGAGCAGAGTTGTTTCAGATGCTTCAATTTCGAGAAACCACGAGAATAAGTGTTCTGAAAATCAAGATTGCCCTAAATGCATGCTAAGATGAACGCTGTTTCAAGCATCAAAAATATGAAGGCACCTACCATACAAAGTAGCTCGCTACAATGAAATTTGGCGTCCTTGGCATAGGTACCTAATTATTCTGAATATATTCCAAAACCTACAGTTCACCTGCTCTACCCACTACATATCCCTTTTGATATCATATCAAGGGATGTCTTGAGAGAACTGGACCTATAGATAGCACCCATATAGTGTGAGAAAAAAAAAAAAAAGCAGATCTGTTGTGAAGTTCATGTGCCCTCACCTGGAGTCGAACCAGGGACCCCGTCATGACAGTCTGTATTTGACTTACTAGTGACGTATTCTACCGCTGAACCATAAGGGCTGTATCTTATCTTACGCCTTCCCATCACGATCTATAGAGCTCTCTTTGATAGATTTATCCCAGCAGAACGATACATCCACTGGGCTGCAATGAGAGATCTCGTCAGTGGATGCAAGGCTCAAGGGACTAATCCTGGCTTTAAAATTTCTTACGGCATCATCAGACTGTCTGAGATCAAAAGAAAAAATTAGGAAGACCTTATAAATGTGGAGGTAGGTACGCAACCTTTAGTATCAGTTGGACTATTTCATGTCTTTGAGTTTTCGCATTCACAACTGTCTGCAGAATTGCCAGATTAAGGTGTTCAAATCAACGTTGCGAATGAATTATCATTTATTGACTTGCTATCTTTGACAAGAAACATCCTGAATAGTACCATAGTCCTCGCAACTATGAGAATGCAGTTGCCCCAATGCGGTTCTGAGAGGCTATCTAAGAGCCCTCTGTCAAACCCGCCATCAAAAATAAAACCCCCGCCCCAGACTCCAGCAGAACCCCAATCCTCATCCAAAAATGGCTACGGCAACGAACGAAAACACATCCAGCCCAGACGCATCAAACCTTCCCCATCCCCATTCAAGCATCCCTCAGCCCCTCCTCCCGTCCCACCTCACTCTCCCTCCCCTTCGCATCCACCAACCTCACCTCCCCAGATCGCGGATTCGCCACCACCGGCGCCCGCGAAAACGACACCTCGCGCGCATTCCCCACTTCCGCCTTCTTCGCCACATACACGCCCGACCTGACCGGGCGCACACTCGCCGGCAGCCCAATCCGGACTTTTGGCTTCGGCGCCTCACCCGGTGCCGACGTAGAAGCCTGAAGGGCAGCAGGCGTCTTGCTCAGCGCCGGGGTCGTCAGCATCTCCCACTCTGGCTCTGCCGGGCCCCCGGACTTCGCTCCCATCCGCTGCGTCGATCCTATGGCTGGACGCGCGGACTTGGGGTTCGCTGGGAAGGGAAGGCCGGGGGAGAAGGAGGAGTCGGTGGAGGAGTCGGCGGAGGAGCTGCTGCGGCGCGAGGCGGGGGTCGCGAGGAGGATGTTGTCGTCGCTCCAGGAGCGGGGGGAGAGCGCGGAGGGAGCGGGGCTGGGGGTAGTGCTGAGGAAGGTGCCGGTGACGGGGGAGAAATGGGATGTTGGGGAGGTGTGAGAACGGACGAGAGGGCTCGGTTTGGGACGGGGTTTGGTGGTGGATTTTGTGGGCCGGAGCGGGAGGGGGAAGAGCGAAGGGGAAGGATCTTTAGCATCGTCACCGGATTGAGGAATGATGTCGCCTTTGGCGTCGGGTTCTTTGGCTTTGGGAGTCGATTCAGGGACGGCGTAGAGTTTGCTCAGGTGAGCTTGTCTTCGTTCGAGTAAGCTCTGGGGTAAGCCTTGTGGCAGATCTTGCTCCCCATCCCGCTTGAGGACACTTCCGAACATGATGGAATAGCGTTCCATTTCTGACCTTGGTATGACGACATCGATCCATGGCCCTCTCTTGGCCTCTTTTGAGTCTTCCTGCGTTTCGTAGGCCTCGCCGTCCGCCAAAGCCTCAATTTCTAGCAGACTTTCACTATCTTCGATGCCATTTTCAGTCTTTGCGTCGTCCAATGTTTCTTTTTGCTCGTGATTTTCCACGGTGTTTGACGGAACTACTATTGCTACTACCTCCTCAGGGTCTACCATCTCTTGCACCACAACTTCTTTCATCGTGTCCTGGTTCTCGTCATGAATGTATTTGGGCATATTCCATGGTTTGCTCGGTTTCCTTGCTCGGTACCCTTCGTCCTTGGGCGGTGGCAATGGACTCGGTTCATCAGTGTCGGATGGAGTCTGAATCAATGAGTCCTTCCTGTCCGAGCTCCCACTCTCGTCCTTCTCCTCTGTTCTCTCCTCTTCTTCCCTTCTTTCTCGTTCCAATTTTTTTGACATAGCGATGAGATCCGCCGTAGCAGTTTGAACAGAACCAGGCAAGCCTGGCAAGAATCGATCAACATGCTCCTGGTCAGATGCTTGGACTTGCTGCGGAGCTGCAATCGAAGACGAAGTTCCTCTGGCCAGGGTGGGCCTTTTCCTCGTTGCAGGTACCGCATATCCTACTTCTGGGGGTTGATTCGCGGGTGAGCTTGTTGAAGAGGGTTTAGTAGATCCGCTTGGAAACCTGGGCGGTGGAACCGGATCTATAATCGGTCCTGTGATGACAAGAACGTCTTCATCCTCTCTTGGCCGGATCGCTGGACTTGTTGATCTCTTGCCGAAAAAGCTGCCAAAACTTTTCCATTTGCTAGGACGTGACCTAAGATCTGGCACTGACTCTGACCTCGTAAAAGAACGCAGAGCTTCCTCACTAGGTCGTATCCGAATGGGTATTGGTGGATCTCGACTTGGTTCGAATGACTTCCGCTGATTCGGACTTCCAAGCGCAACACCTATAGGTGCATCTTGTGAGGGAGGTAAATAGTAGATTTTCACCTGACCGGCAGATGTCTTAGCATTACCCAGTTTAGGTCGATGGCGTTGGGCTGAACTCGTCGATTTGGCGTTATTCCGCAGATTATCTTGACTTTGACGTTCGATAAATCGCAAATCTTCTCTTGGTCTCGCATTACTTGCAAGTAATCTGGGCCCTGATATACCGTCATCACCCAGTTCAGTCGCAGACCTTTTATTGATCTTCAGTCGAAAGTTCTTCGAATGGACGACCATATTAGATTGCTTTTCGGGTGGACCGATTGATTGTCGCGGAGCATTAAATGATGTACAGTGTCATGGGGATAAGTGTTTGAACCGATACGAGAATAGACAAAAGAATGGACGGCTCTTGCTAAAGTAAAAACAAGATACCAACGACTGTGCCTCAAAGACAACAAAAAGGACAGACGTGAGAGAAATTGCCTACGTTGCAGAGCAACGAATCTCGTGTTATTCCCCAACGTCGACTCTTCTTGAGGCGCAACGCGGATCGCCCACAGGATTGGATCCACTGGGATGCCGAAATATTGAAGTGCCATCGTGTCACCGTGCCCAAGACTCACCAGACTGCAGCAACGCAGATGAAACCATGTCTACAAGAAGACCTGGACCGGAAAACCCGTGATACCAGCGGGGAAGATTGATGTCGTGCAGGTAAGCGACGGCAAATCATCAACGTGTAAAGATAGCGACGAGTCAGACTGGGCCGAGGGAACTTCACAAAAGAGGGCCCTACGACAATGATGAAACTGCAGCTGTTGGCAGTGAGATGGAATCTACGAGTGAGAATCGTCCACGCTAGCGTTACGAACCCTTCTATGTTTCAGATCGGATGACCTGGACGCTTTTCTTTTTTTGTCGTCTAGCGTGAGCCTCCAACCTCTGCCAACGCCATGAGCAAGCCAAGTCCGCCTTCTCATCGCAGTGGGTATCGACAAGTCAGCCACAGTACAGTACGATACTCAGCACTATCGCATAAGTTGCCTGATGTACAGTTGCCACTGACCATCAAGAAGGATATCTCAATATTCTTACAATTTGAACTAGGTTCTTAGGACTCAGCACTCTCTCATGTCCGAGTTTCGTCGATTATCCCGAGTATCGTACATAGACCATCCCCGTCAACAACATGAATAATGAGGAAAGGCGTTGCCTCAGCAGCCGCCCTGACGTTGCTCAAGGCATAATTGTGGCGCAGATGAAGCAGTCCTAACTCCACCGACAGAACCAGTCCACCAGAGCATGTTCTTCCCAAGAGATCTTGCATCTATTTTGGTTTGGAATGGATTCCGACGGGGCCGGACCCAAGGATCTCGAAAGTCCACGGTGGAGCCGAGAGCTACCGAATTTCATGCCTCCTACTTACTCAAAAATATGCATAATCCGGTAGAAGGAATCAGGCAAACTAGCCTCAAGTGTCGGCCCCGTCCGAACTCCGCGGCTCTGACTTTACATAAGTTTTCCGAGGCTGTCCATGTGTCGTCACTAAGAATAAAAATTGTTGCCTTCATGCACTCGAGTTTCCACACGCGTGATCCTACAACAATCCACATCAGTGTTTCGTTTCATCGTCAAAAAGGCGAAACAACCTGTCCGTGACTTACCTTCATGTATTCGCCACCCTTTTCCATGTATTCTGCGCGGCTCACAAACGCCCGTTTGGATTCTTGCTCGGCTGACCACCTTGCAGCACCTTTCCAAGCATCCAGAATGGGATCTCGAGCCTGGCGAACAGTAAGGGGGGCATTAGCCGGTAGAACTGCACGTAGCTCGTTCCGAAGCCTTTCTTCAAATCCTTGAAACAATGTGTTTCCGCCAGTAAGGAAGATGTCCTTCAGGAGATCACCTTTCTGAGGCGAGTCAGAAACCCGCTGAGTAATGATATCGGCAGCTATCTCTACAATACCGGCTTGATCGAGTCCGGCAATGGCTGGTTGAAAGACGACTTCTGGAACGCGAATGCGCTCAACATTCAGATGGACTTGGTGAGCCTGTCGCTGCGATTCTGGATCGTAAGGCCAGGGACCATAGCGAAAAGCATGAACCAAGCTTTTGGACCAGTCCGTTTGAGCCTCGCGAGTACTGTCTTCCGTAAACGTCGGATCATGTTTTAGCAGTTGTGCTTCGATGTTCTTCAAGGCTGTGCCTAGATCTTCTTCCTCATCGTCATCGCTCTGATCCCCCGTCGCGATCGTGCGATAAACGCCCCAATCGGCATCGTCAGCACCGAATGTATCTTCGTCGCCTCCTCTCCTTCGTTTTCTGCTCGGACTGTCAGAGGCAAGGTTGGCGATACTCTTCATGCGCATTTGGCTAGCCAGCGATTTTCGGTTTCCCAGATCTGCTTTAAGTCTTTCGCGCTCGCGCATCTTCTGAACTAGCGCTTGACGAGCAGCCCTACGCTCTGCAACCCATCCTGTCAGATCATTCTCCCTCCGCTCAGCGTCTAGCCGTTCTTCTTCTGCCACCCTGGCCTTTTCTCTCTCCTTTTCTGCTTTTGCACGCGCACGAGCGTCATGATTAGACTTCAATAATCGCTGCTGTCG